GATCAAAAATCAGATCAGAAGTCAGGATCTATCAAATAGATTTTTTTTAAAGTCATAAATAAATGATCACCTAAAAATAAAAAGGTATACTGATATACAAGAGCAGCCCTTGAAACTTTATGAAGAATTATACCAAAATTTTAAAGCCTGGAAAAAGAATACTATATTTCAAATTAATCAATGTTCTTTTTTACTTTATCAAATATATATTTCTTTCTTTTTTCCTTTTCCTTTATCAAAAATAGAGCATGGGCTAAATTCCAATTTGAATAAGTATACTGATCTTCCAACTTCCCTTGGGACTAAAAATCACATGTGGTTTTCTTCATGTTCTATCTTTAACTAGTGGAACATGACATTTTTGTAAATTGAGATAGATGCTGAGTTCTACCAAGGTCTGTCTGGAAAGGAAACACCCTGGAACACTCTGGAAAAGAAACAATCTTCCTACTTGACTTACACAAATACCCAAGCATAGGAAGCTGGGTTTTTGAAGTAACACTCTGTCCCTGGTTTGAAACAGCCTTATTTTCCTTGACATCTTTTTATCTGCTTAATACTTTTATGAAAATAAAGGAATAAAGAAATGTTTCCCCGAAAAAAAAAAAAGTTAAAAACCTCATATTGACATTTAGAAGTGCAACATTTGAATGAGGATCCTGGCTGCTACAGCAAATCTATGCTCACCTCAGCCCTCCCTCCTCCCACGTAACAATTCTGCTGCAAAAGGAAAGCATCTCCACCTTGACTTCTTCATTGAAAACCTTCCAATTAAGTCTTTCTGCTCCTATTTCATTCGGAACACCTGGTGGCCCAGAATTCGGATATCATACATCATTTTGTATTTAGATGCTATCCTACTTTTCTTCAGTACATGGGATCTTCAAACATGGAATTGGCAAGGGGTTAAGATTCACAAATTATCTAACTCAATCTTTTCAAGAGAGCAAGTTTAAACCAAGGGTTTACATTATGTTTAAGCACCTACAGAGAAATCAATTTCATAGTATCTCTTAATGATGCATTCTAATATTGAATAGCCTCTAAATTATTTCTATGTAAAAGTCTCTAAATTGACTCCATATTTGGATAATCTTAAAAAGAAATCTTCATCAGAAGAAAATATTTTACTATTGTACTTCCTTATGATATTTGGAAACCAAAAATAAATTTCGAGAGCAGTAGTTCTTAGCAGTTTATAGGTTATAATTCCTGTAAGAATCTGCTGTAAGTTATGAGTTTCTCTTTATATACAACTGAAACCCCTCAGGGTAAATGTTGTAGAGATCCCCAACAAGAGGTGGAGAAAGAAGCTTGGTCAGGTCTGATTCTATAAGACGTCTCTAATCACTGGATCTCCATTGTTCCTGCTTCCATTCTCTTAGAATTTTTTTTTGAATCTGTTGTACTCTTTTGGTAGTTGCAGGAGGTACAGAGATTGCTTAAAGCAATTGTGAAGTTCTCACATTAAAATCCTTTGCCTGGAGTACAGGTAATTTTCTCTCAGAACTCTCAAGCTGTATCTTCTAAACTTCAAAATCTCTCAAATAGGGATTTCAGGAAATAGTCTATCAGTATGGTTATTTGAATTTATATAACAGAAACAAACTCTGGTTAACTTGAGGTGGGGGGAAGCCACTGAAGATGACAGCTGAGTGTCTCAGTTTTGTAGAAAACCCAACAAGCAAGAATAACAAGTAGTGCCAATGTAATGACCCCCTCATAGAGATGGTGGTCAGAACTCATCTTCAGCTCTTTTTTGGCTGCCAGAAAACACACACATACACACACACACACACACACACACACACACCAGTAGAAGGAATACGGGTCAGGAAGAGATGAGAAACATCCATGAGAGTAGCTACAGGTTTATAAGAAGTTAAGAATGTTACTGTCTTAGATATTTTTGCAATGACCATAATTATTCTCCTAATTCATCATTTTACATAAACCAGACCTACATGAATTTGGAGGAACCAGGTGGAAACATTAGTCAAAGTCAAGAATGACATGTTTTTAGTCACTTTAGATATCACCAGCTAGCTGGACTGCGATATGAACTGGGTTCAAAGGAGCTGGCTGTACCAATGACTAAGAAAATGGCAAAGAAACCACACAGCACAGGAATGCAAGTTTCTAAAGCAGGACAGCTCAGTGACATCAAGAGTCAGCTCCAGCACTGAAAGGATCAAGACAGTGAGTGCACCTGGAACCCCTGTTTTCATTTAGGGGAAAGAATTTAAGAAAGTTCTACCCAGATAAGGCAAGGGATTGGGTTTTGAAGGGTGGAGTCTTGCTTGGTGATGTCTTGTGGTCAGCAGATTGGCTGATATTTTAGAAAGCCACACCCATCTCAGGTACTATGTGGGATCACAGGCAGAGAGAGAGGAAAGGCACACATAGGTCATGAAATAATGTCAGACCAGTCCCCTCATATGCTCAAATGCACATAGCTCTCACACACAGCCCATGAATGGCTTGCAACATTCAGATGTGACCAAACAATGCAACCCAGGGGAAGAAATTCTAAGAAGATGGAAAGGGTCTGTGGAGATCAGTGGATAGAAATTCTAAGAAGATGGAAAGGGGCTGTGGAGATCTTAAAGGATAGAATCAGACCTGACTGAAGACCTTTCTCAGCCTCTTGGTGGGGATTTTGCAGTGTTTACCATGAGGGATCTGAGAACTGCTTTGAATCAGTAATGGGGAGATCACCCATTTTCCCCTTTCTCAATGAGAGTGTTAATATTGTTTATTCTCAGATAACAAAATTTTGTTAATATCACTATCATATTTTAACATCACTCTTAAACTTTAAAGATTTTTGCAAAGGCAAGTTACATCCTTATTAAAAAGCAGGTAAAAAACAAAGGGATGCCCTTCTGGACAAAGATAGAGGTAAAATATGTATAATGCTATATATTTGAAACCTTCTCACTTTAATTGCCTATTGAGCTTCCAGATCAATGACTTCCTGCCTGGCTTAATGGTATATAAATCAAGATCCACTTTTGAAAATAAAGCCATCATCAAGATGGTTTGATGGTTCATGGTACAGGTCTTCTGTGGACTTTACAAGATACAACTATTAACAAACTACCATCTGGTGTTATTGCAAACTAAGGGTGAAACTCTTTCCTTTAAGCAATGTGAACTGTGGTTCTAGTTTCACTTGAAGACTAATCAATCTGATATTTTTGAAAAGTGACTATAAGTACATACAAATTACACATGTAATTTTGTGTTATTTTGAATTATTTGGACCATTAGGCTATAAAAATGGTTCAATTATAATCTATTAAAAACAATTCTGAGTTTTTGTGCAACGTTCTGTGGGTATTTAAAATGCATAATACATAAAAATTGTGATACTTGTTTTTTGTTTACACTCAAGGGTAAACAGAAAATGAAATCTTATATCAAATAATATGAAATGATCTTAATGGAAAATTAGTTAAACAACAATGTATAACTGAAGAAATAGAAGTTATCAGCCATGTTACAAGCATTCTGTCCAAATTTCTAAAGGATAAGGGTTTCTGAAATGTGTCAGGGATATTTAACATCTCATCAGGAATTTCAACTTCCCTCAAGAAACTTTTTGTTTTATCTGCAAATCACAAATTAAACTACTTCTTTATCTTTATATTTATGGAAGCAGAAATGAGTACTCAGGTGACTTAATGTTGATAGAAATGAAAAGGTATGGTAAATATAAGAAGACTATATGAATTGAAAATAAATCTTTGAATTCTAATTGAGTATTCTAAAATCTATAATCCTAGATTCTACTTTTAATAATTTAATGGCTTTAGATGATTTTCTAGAGAGATGATGGTTCTTAGGAAAACCTTAATATTATTTTCCAAAGTTCATTTTCTACATAACAGATGGTAAAATATGCAGACTTTGAACACATGCTATTCTAGAAGTAATTGAATTAAAATTTAACTAAATCCATGGAGATGTTATAAACAGTTCTGAGTTCCTTGAGAAAAAATACTTGGCAACAATATTATATTTTATTATTAATTAATGGAATGATCATTCATCAGTTTGTGCCTAATATGATTTTGGCCATTTACATAAGTATAAAAATAGCATGGGACTTGCCTTTTCAAAATTGTTAAAAATGTGAAAGTGATATTAACAAAATTTACCCATTTTCACCAATGATATAAAACCATGATTTATATTATTTAGTCACTTAAATATTAATCAGTCTTTAATATGACATAATTATTTTAATGTTTTCCCCAAAATCATATACATTTTTTGATGAGATGTCTGTGTATCCTTCTGAATATATCAATTACCCAGAGCAGAGTGAAGAGACTTCCCTGTATTACCTGAATTACTGATTCTGAATAGTATGACTAAGAGTGAAAATAGGAAGTGTCATTATATATCAGATGGGAAAGGCATTTATAGATTAGATTAGTAAATACTTATAATTAGTAAAATTACTGAAAAATATTTGGTTTATTTGAATAAAATTAGAATTATTTAAAGTTATGAGAATATACATATGCATGGTAGAGTTATTTGTTAAATAGTTTCATCTAAAAAAATAAGTCATATGTGTGATGATGCAGCCATCTGGGCTCAACCAAAAAAGAAAAAAAAAAAAACAAGGATATTTAGCTTAAAGTTCTAAGTGCATTCAAGATGTAATAGAGCTATCCTGTGAAAATACACCTGTAGTTAGAAGCTAATTTATCTAAATTAAAATGAATAAAATGTTATATAATTGATTAGACAAAAACTTTATAACAACAGATTGAAACAAAATTCTTCACAAAGGTAATTTCAGAAATGTCGGCGAAAACCATTATAAACCTCCTTTAATCTAAATTTTTTTTAAAAAATCCATTTGTAAAAGGGCCCAAGCCAGGGCATGAAGGTGGCAGGGCACAGTGTTTCTTCTATGAGAAATTCTCCCTTCTTATGTGACTCTTCTTGCCATTTCTCTTTTTATTTTCCTATTTTCCAAGAAGCAATGGCTGCAGTGGTTTGTTTGGAATGAGAGAAGGATACAAGGTAGATCCTGGCTATCATAACAGATTATTGTGCCACCTTTACTTGTGGGTAAGTAAATTATATGTGTGGGGCTCTGAGACTAGAATTTAACTTTTGTTTTGTTTTGAAAAATTCAATACCTAGAAGCCAGTTGAGAGTTAATTAAACTATGAGAAGTTTCCAGATTCATTTAAATGAAGACTATTACATTTCAAACAACACTTTAGTAGACACTGTTGTTATGTAGAGGAGGAACTACAATCCTGTTCTTTGGTGGAGGCCATGAGTAGTGGAATCCCTCTGTGTAATGATACTTCATTATCTTAGAGTTGCACCCTGAGGATGATTGCTATTGTCTCAGAAAAGAGAAACACTGTTTTTTTGTTTTGTTTTGTTTTGTTTTTGTCTTCTGCCCTTATAAGAGCTACAGAGAAGTAGGAGAGATGACCTTGAAATATTAGGGAGGCTATTAAGAGGTAATATAGATACTGTAGGTAGTAGGGGGCTACAGAAGAGTAAATGGAGAGATAGGTCTGACCTTTTGTCAATGATCGAAGGGATTGGAGGCACTGTGACATTCTTTACAGATATACCCTGCTTCACATAATGAACCCAAGGGAAAATATTATATGAAAATGTATCCCACCAGTCATTTACTGTGATCCACAGACTTTACTACCTTAGCTTTTCAACAATCTCTTCTCTTCTTACACATGAAGATCATGCTTAGTGCAGACAGGACATTGTCTAGGGAATGTTATATTAAAACATATGTGGAGAAATTTTTAGTTGTCTCAATATTGAAGCAGAACCACTGCTAATGTAGTGGTAGAAGGCAAGGATATTAGACATCCTGCAATTTTTGAGATAGTCACATGCCCAAAAGAATTATCTTACCTTTCATATGATTTGAATGGCCCACTACTTGTTTTTGAAAAACAGTTAATAACCCCAGAACCTAACTTTTTAAGATATATAAAACCAAAGTAATTTTTATACTTTTAATGTTCACGGAATATTTGAGGATTTAAATAATTATGTACAAAAAGGACAGTGTATATAATATTGTCTTTGGGAATTTACCCAGTAAACCAGATTTCAAAATGAGTCATACATGGCAATCCCATTCCAAATATTTGAGTCATGATTAGAGACCACCTGTAAAAAGTGTGTACTTTAAAGAAGAACTAATACCAATCCTCGTCAAGTTATCCCATGATATAGAAAAGGAGAGAACACTGCCAAAGCAATTCTACGAAGCCAGTATCATCCTGGTACCAAAACCAGTCAAAGACAACCAAGGAAAAAAAACTTCAGACCAAAATCCTAGATGAATATAGATGCCAAAATTCTTAATAAAATATTGGCACCATGCTATAAAAAAACACATTAAAAAGACAGTGTACTGTAACCACGTGGGATTCATCCCTGGGACAAAAGACTAGTTCATTTATTGATACAGAAATCAATAAATGTAATTCACCACATAAATACACTAAAAGACAAGAATCACATGATTTTCTCAATAGATGCAGAGAAAGTATTGGACAAAGTACAGTACCAATTCATGTTTAAAGCACTAGAAAAACTAGGGATTGAAGAAACTTACTTCAACACAATAAAGGCTATATACAACAAACCCAAGGCCAACAATATTTTCAAGGGAGAACAAAATGAAAGTATTTCTTTTAAAATAGGAAGAAGACAAGGACGCCCACTTTCACCACTCCAATTGAACACAGTCCTTGAAACTCTAGCCACAACAATTAGTTAAGAGAAAGAAATTAAAAGAATACAATTGGAAAAGAAGAACTTAAATTACCTTTGTTTGCTGATGACATTATCCTAAAAGACTTCAAAAATAAACTTTAGACTTCCAGAGCTTAAAATGATTTCAACAAAATAGCATGATACAAAATCAACACCCCTAAATAAATTGCATTCCTATACTCCAATGAAGAATCTGCTGAAAAAGAAATTAGGAAAAGTATCCCACTAACAATAGCATCAAAATAAAGTAAATAAAACATACTTGGGAATTAATCTAACAAAAGAGGTGAAGGACCTCTATGATGAAAACTACAAGACACTAAGAATTGTAAAAGACCTTGGAAGATGGAAAGACCTCCCGTGTTCTTGGATAGGCAGATTTAATATTGTTTAAATGACTATACTACCAAGAGTGCTATGCATATTGAATGCAATTCCCATCAAAATTTTAATGACATTCTTTATAGAAATAGAAAAAACAGTTAAGAAATTCATTTGAGAAAAAAAAATAGAGACCCAGGATAGCCAAAGCAAGAGCCATCATAGTGGCAGATCTCAAATTATACTACAGAACTATAGTAACAAAAACAGCATGGTATTGGCACCAAAATTGACACGAAGATTAAAGTTATAAAATAGAGAAGACACAGAGACAAACCCACATAAATATAGGTATATTTACTAGACAAAATACCAAAAACACATTGGAAAAAAAAAGATAGTTCTTTAAACAAATTGTGCTGGTTAAACCAGAAACCCATTGTAGTAGAATGAAACTTAACCCCTTTCTCTCACCCTGCACAAAACTCAGGCAAAGTGGGTCAAAAGCCTAGGAATTAGACCAGAACCCCTGCAACTGCTAAAGGAAAATGTAGGCCCAACATTCCAACATGTTGGCTCAGGAACTGACTTCCTTAACAAGATTCCTAAAGCTCAAAAAGTAAAATCGAGAGTAAGTGGGATGGCATCAAATTCAAAAGCTTCTTCACAGCAAAGGAAACAATTAAGAGCATGAAGAGAGAGCCCACAGAATGGGAGAAAATCATTGCCACCTGCACCTCAGATAGGATGTTAATTTCCAGTATATACAAAGACCCCAAAAATAACACCAAAAGCAAACAACCCAATAACTAAATGGCAAAGAAACTAAACAGACACTTCTCAAAAACAACAACAACAACAACAAAAAAAAAAACAAAACAAAGAAAAAGTCAACAAATTCAGTTGGGGATATGGCTCAAGCAGTAACACGCTTGCCTGGCATGCACGGGGCGCTGGATTCGATCCTCAGCACCACATAAAAATAAAATAAATATGTTGTGTCCACCAAAAATGAAAAAAATAAATATTAAAAAATTCTCTCTCTCTCTCTTAAATAAAAAAGTCAACAAATATATGAAAAAATGTCCAATGCCTTTAACAATTAGAGAAAGGCAAATTAAAACTACACTGAAATTCTATCTCACTTCAGTCAGAATGGCAATTATTAACATTACAAGTAACAATAAATGTTGTCGAGGATGTGAAGAAAGGGTTTCACTCATATTTTGTTAGTTGAACTGCAAATTGATACAACCACTCTGAAAAGTAGTATGGAGATTCCTCAAAACATGAGAAATGCAACCATCATTTGACCCAGTTATCTGACTCCTTGGTGTATATCCAAAGGAGTTAAAATCACTATACTACAGTGATGCAGTCACATTAATGTTTATAGCAGCACTGTTCAAAATAACCAAACTATGGAGCCAAACTAGATGTCTTTCAATAGATGAATGGATTAAAAATGTGGTATATATACACAGTGGTGTATTGCTCAGCCATAAATAAGACTTTTTACATACATTTGCAAATAAATGGATGGAACTAAAGAATATCATACTAAGTAAAATAAGCCCGTTGCAAAAAACCAAAGGTCATATGTCTTCTCTGATATGTGAAAATTTTAAAATAAGGAGGTGGAGGGATAAAAAAGAGAATAGAAGAAAAATCAATGCAGTACAGAAAGGAGAATGAAGAAAAAGGAGGAGGAATGGGATAGGGAAAGACAGTGAAATGAATATTATTGGACTTTCCTATGTACATAAAAGAAAATGCTACAGTGAATCTCACTATCATCACATACATCCACAAGACAGTAATTAAAAACTATATGTATATATATATATTTGTAATTTTATTTATATATATATATAATTTTATATATCTTTTAATATATACATACACAGAGAGATATATACATACATATATATACATACACAGAGAGAGAGAGAGAGATCAGTAGAGTAGAGGGAAGGGAATGGGAGGGAGGAGGAGAGGGAAAGGGAAAGTACTGGGGACTGAATTAGAACAAATTATATTCCATGCTTTCACAATTATGTCAAAATGAATTCTATTGTCATGTATAACTAAAAAGAACCAATTTAAAAATACTATGGTGGGGCTGGGGTTGTGGCTCAAGAGGTGGAGTGCTCACCTAGCATGCATGAGGTACTAGGTTCGATCCTCAGCACCACATAAAAATAAAATGAAGATATTATGTCCACCTATAACTAAAACATAAATATTTTAAAAAAATACTATGGTAGTTTTCATCTGAGACTGGCGTGAGTTAGAAAGATGCTTGCTGAGAAAGTCAATTTCCTACTGTGTTCCTCAGTTAAATCACTTATTGTATTTTTCTTAAGCTGGTATATGAGGTTTTGTTCTCTGCCTTACACAAGTGTGATTCTGATAGGTGAAAGATTGTTTGCAACCACATTCTTTGTGCAGGGTCACCATACTTTTGTTAGGCTTTTAATCCTAACCAACATTCCAGGTGGGCTGAACCACTTTAGTTTTTGCACAATAAAGGAGATTTATTGAAATTTGACTAAAAAAACCCAACAAACAAATGAACAACAACAAAAAGAAAACAGGCACAATTCTGATTACACATTTATTAATATTTTAAAATCCTTAACGTTGGAGACAAAATTTCTTCTAAGGACAATAGCTCTTTTTCTCATTGTTGAATTTTTCAAAGATAGTCCTCTTGACTCATTTATGATTGATCTTGTTTTACTACTAATTTGAAATGTAGGCATTTCAGAATGAGATATATAGAATATTATTACAATCTACAAATTTGTTAGCAATTTACTGAATCAGAACATTTTAAGGTCTAAAAATTTCAAATAGTTTCTGAGAAATTTTTATTGTAATCTACATATTTGTTAGCAACTTTACTAAATCAGAACATTTTAAGCTCTAACAATTCAAATACTAACTTTAATACCCATGCATTAACCTTAGGAACAATTTGCAAGATAGGGAAATTTCTATTTTCAATTACCCTGATACTTTATCAACAGGCAAAGTCCTAGATTACACTAGAAATATTTCTTCTCTACAGAAAAAGGGTGGTTCTGGGCACCTCCTGGTTACTTCTTCTTTCCTTTCTTCCTCTTTGCGTCAGGAGCTGGGGTCTTCTTCTCTGACTCTGCCCGCATTGCTGCCTCCTGAGCAGCCAAAGCTTCCAATCTTAGGCGCTCAGCTTCCAGCAACTTGTTTCTGTACTCCTCCCGGATGGTGAAGATCTTCTGTCTGGCTTCATCTAAGGAGTCCTGTTCCAAAACAAGGCCTCAAACAAATCAGTGTCACTTATAAAGGTTTATTGTCAAAGTGGGGGAGAGGAGTATAACACCTTTATCCTTCCTTATGCCAACAGAAGGTTGAGGAAAATTATTGAAGATGAAAATCATGGTTTCAAGGTTTATCAATAAACAAACATGAGACAGCAATATAAGATTTTAACAAAATAATAAATAAAAGCTGTGGTAGGAGAAAAATAAAGAGAAAGATAAAGAAAGAAAGTATATAGGGATTTTTAGTAAAGAAACCATGTGCTTTAAATGAGTCCAGGTAATATCTATATAAACCAGCCCAGTGTTGCTCATAGAGTGACTGTGCTCAGTAGATGGCTAATTCCCCACATGTATTCTAGCTCTCACAACATATATCTGAGCTGTATTTGAAGAACTTCCAAATAATACCACAGTTTGTTTTCTTTGTTGGCTTTTACTCACATCATTCTACAAAACTGCATTTCTCAAGGTCACTGATCACCAACAGGCGGCTAAATGCAGGAGTGGTTATTTTTGCTTTTGTTCATATTTAACCACACGCCGTCCTCCCAGATGAACTGATTGCCCTTTTCTTTCAGGACATTACACTTCACCTTTCTTCTGTCTTACTAGCTGCTTTTGCTGATTTCTCCTTGATCTCTTAGTGAGGAAGTGGTCATGCTGTAAGAATAATGACTAATGATCTGATACTAGCCTCAAGAGAACCTTCTAGAGATTCCTGCTCTTTTCTTCATTCTGAATTGTTCAAGAAATTTTCCATGTTTCTGCAACGGGTACAATTTTGTCAAGATATGGGGACCAATTGCTTGTCAGAACAGACTTCCTAAAGCATCTGATGAAAGTACTGCCTCTACCATCCATCATAAAATTGGATTCCCTAAGCCAAATGCCCAAGGACAAGATGATAGCTTTGACATATGATATACAGAGAGAGCAAAAATGGGGGTGGGGAGACATAGTAAGGTTTTGTATAAAGTGAATTTAATCTGTGTCAGTATTCTCTTGAGAATTGGCATGTTTTCTCCTGTTTGATAAGAAATATGTTACTATCATGTTTCTCTTAAAATGGCTCCACTCAAAACTAGGGTGTTTAATTTGCACCTTACACTTTAATGAATGGGGTCCGAATTCAAAGTTGTCCCAGTTAATATGCAAATTTTGAGAATGCTAATTTTGAAAGGGTACCTAGTGAGGTCCCTTTAATTAAGAGGTAATAGATAAGATAGATCATAAAATGAAGACGTAAACCATTTGGCTCTCTGGGGAAAAGTCCTTCTAGGGAGAAGTAGTTAAGTTCAAAGGCCCAGAGGGGTTGT